TGAAGTCCACAAGTCTTAAAGTTGCCAAGGTTGGACACCCCTGCACTAGACATAAGGAAGGGTGCCTGAATTCTCTCCAGCTGCTTCTGGTCAGAATGTCTGCTTAAAGACCGGAAGGTCAGGTGCAACCTTGGAGTGAAATCCCACCTTCTCCATGTCGTCCCAGTTGGTGATGATGCCATGCTCAATGGGGTACTTCAGAGTCAGGATTCCTCTCTTGCTTTGGGCCTCGTCCCCCACGTAGCTGTCTTTCTGGCCCATCCCCACCATCACGCCCTAGAAAGGGAAGGCCGGAAGGGGGTAAGGGCAAGCAGGCCACGGAAGCAGAACCTACGACAAGCCCTGATGAAGCGCTTCATTTTCTCCAGCCTTGGCTTAGAAGAGGGGCCAAGGGCTGTCCAACATTCAGAGGGCAGCTCAACCTTCTCACAGGCAAGAATTAGAGAGTCATCGTAGCTGAGCTGGGCAGGATCAGGACCCCTTCCTTCTTCCCTGCCCAGGGAGAGAGCCATTTGGCCCCGAGAACCATTTACCCTCCTGGCTTCTCCATGGGCCCATTTTCTTTGACCAGCCTCCCATAGTACCCGTCTACCTCCTGCAGGGGAGCTAGGCCACCCTTGGCTGGCCAAAGGGAGGACCATCAATGCGGTCCCAGATGCTGTGTCTCGCCTTCCTGGCCCTTCTTACCAGCCGCTGAGCCCCTAGAAGATTAGCCCTAATCCTGTCTGAATCCTTTTGTAAGCCACGTGTCTGTCTGCTTTCTTCAGGATCAGGCTGACCCTATTCCCATAGTAAATGCTAAAAGTTCTGCAGTTGAAAAAAAAACCCAGACTGAATTTTCTTTGGACATTTGACAATGTTGTATTTTGAGGGTGATGGCAAGTTCCACACACCCAAGTGCACCAGGTGTGTGACTTTTGCATCATCGGCATTTCAGGTACATTGCCCTGTTTGTTCTCACATGACGCACTTTCCTTTCAGATTTCAATTAGTAGCTTTTCATCTCCTCTTTCCCTGAACACATCTGGTGTCGGACCCAGATCCTAAGGTTGTTTTCAGCGGGAGAGGAACTGCCCTTCTTGAGGCTCTGGGTCCCACCTTGGCCCGGGTTTTGCACCCCTTCTGAGTCCAGAATCAAAGCTTGAGATACCCACCTGGTGACGTGGGCGTCCCACAATGGAGGGGAAGACTGCGCGAGGCGCATCGTCCCCAGCAAAGCCAGCCTTGCAGAGCCCAGAGCCATTGTCGCACACCAAGGCTGTTGTCTCCTCTTCACACATGGCTTTGGCAGAAGGTGGTGCAGGGGACCTGGAAGGACAAGAAGAATTCCTTGGATTCTTTAAGGAGAGCCTTGCTTGTCAAATTAACTTTATACGTCAATCAATCAATCAATCCTTTCTATTTAGGCCCCAAAGGCCCAAAAGATAGACATCTGCTGCCTTTATTGCCGCCTATCAAACTTATCCTCCTGGCCGCTCAGCAGCTCTCCCTCACTGGATTTCGGCTGTTCAAGAGGCAAACCAGAAGCCTTGACTGGTAGCTGCAGCTCATCCTTTCCAGTGCACCCAAGGAAGCCGTATCCCAAGGGAGGAGAATTAGCAACAGATGGGGACAAGAGCATTTGTAGCAAATGAACTCAGGATGGCTGCCAAGAGAAGCTAATGGGGGTGGCCCTGGCGGTGCCCTCCGCCAGCTGTTCCTTGCCCAACTGAGACCAAATCCTGCTGGTACAAGAAGAGCATTTCACCGCATGGAAAAATTCCAAGGAAACTTCAGTAGGATAAAACGGAAAAGACAAGTTTTTGCCGCCACTAGATGGCTCTTTGAAATAACTTACGTAGCCCAACCCATAGTATCTCATAGGGTTCTTCTCGAAAAAAATGAATTAGAAGGCACTTGAGCTCTTGTACAAAATGGGGGGGGGGGGAATCCAATAAATCAAAAATAAATAAATCTGCTCATTATATCAAGGATCTGCTGATACAGAGGAATCATTGAGTCTGTCTCATTTCTACTTCTATAACAGTTCTGTCCTTTAATTACTAGCTGAATATAAAGACAAGGGACAGCTCCCAATTCTAACTTAACTATCTCAATTCCCATTACTATATACTGTCTGGACAGCACAATAACTTTCTGATTTGATACAGCAACCAAATAGGACAAGTACAAACTTCAACGGATAATTAGGACTGCTAGAAAAACCATTGCAACCAGCCTGCCTTCCATTGAGGATCTGTATGCTGCACAAACCACATCCTGGACATAAACTGTTTCAACTCCTCCCCTCAGGACGCTGCCATAGGGCGTTGCGTGCCAAAACAACTAGACACAGAGACAGATCCCCACCTCACCCACCCACCCCCATTATTCTGCTGAACACCTAATTCCCACAGCACTGTCTTAGGTTTATATTCACCCATGTAGCAGGGCTGTATTGCTGTTATCCTTCTCAACTTTCCTATTACCTTCTCCTGTTGGTGTCTTGTGATTCAACACTTCTTTGTTTGCATCCTATGATTTACGATTTATGATTTATCACTTTGTAGTTTGTATGTACACTGAGAGCTTCTGTACGGTAGACAAATTCCATGGGTGCCCAATCACACTTGGCCAATAAAGAATTCTATTCTATTCTATTCTATTCTATTCTATTCTATTCTATTCTATTCTATTCTATTCTATTCTATTCTATTATTATTCTATTATTCTATTCTTATTCTTATTCTATTCTATCCTTACCCCTACCCCTATAAAGGATGGAGACCAGGGCTACCAATGAACAATAGCTACAATCCACGATGAGTCTCTACACGCACAAGAGCGAGAATCTTTGCTGGACTCAAATGCAGCCCTTTCCGCCTGTTTGGGTCTGGCCCAAACAAGTGGACTCTGTTCCACCCCTTCACAGGGAATTCTTGACCAGCGATTCCCAGCTGACACTGGGATATTTCCACACGTCTTGTGTGACCCCGTGCAGCTTAATGGCCAAAGGGCAACTTCACCTTTACCTCTAAAGATTATTGGGGTAGCATCAAATCAATATTATGTACCATCAGCTGTTTTTCCCACCAATGACCAACTAGTTAAAGATAACTGCTGTATTTGAATTAAATTTTCTTTCAGCTTTGTACCTTTCACTTTTAAGGATACCATAATAAGTCATTCTGACACCCAAAGAGGCAATAGAGCCAAAGAGGCTCAGACCTTTTACAGACCACAAGACTCCTCTCTCTGCTCAATCCCAGTTCAGATTATGCTTCTCACCTCACTTCAGGGCTTAAGGCTTGTCTGGATAAGGTAGGATTTAATGAAGGTCTCCAGACCACACATCTCTAAGCAACTACAGAGGAAGGAAGGAAGGAAGGAAGGAAGGAAGGAAGGAAGGAAGGAAGG